GTTGATAATGAATAAGTGGACACGCAAACGGAAACCAGAAGTATAATGCATCTAGTTTTGGTGCCCTTTGGCCTCACACCGTCAACTGCATCTTTTTTATAAATACATTAGATCGCAGTTTAAACCACAGAAAGCGTACATAATATCTGTAGTACCCATGAGTTAAAGAAAAGTCTCAAACTTCCGGCTACCGAACGCGTCTCAAACTCATTTGTGCTCAAGTTAGCTCGGGTACTGTGGTATTCAGTACAAGTTCAGAGTTTGCTTTATATTTCAAAATAAATTCAGTACTCGCTATTGATAAATCAGATTATTTTCAATGCTAGTAACCAGAAACTGAACAAAAAAAAATACAGGCACTATATCTTTGATACGGCTTTTCTTTATTATTGACGAGCATTTTCACCGTTAGAGTATCTTCTAACGAGAAAATTGTAACGGCCCTCATTACGATTGCTAAGATAGTTCTAAAAGGACGTTGAAATGTTCTATGCACTAAAGAACAGTTATAATACGATTCTACGGCTTTTTTAATACTGACGGCTATATATTCTCAAATGAGAAATGAAAAAAAAAACTTTTTTTATCAATATTCTACTTCTTAGGGACTCTATCACCGACATTTCCGTCGAAATACTGATTCTTATCAAACAATTTAAGCGCCAATTAAAAGTTGCACTCATGCTTCTGCCTCGTCTTCAAGTTCTGCTTCCTGTAGTTCTTCTTTGCTGACCGTCTTCTTCTCCTTCTGTTCTGGCTTGGTATCAGGATTTTTAACGAGCTTCTCTACTTTTACAATTACAGGTCGAACCTATAGGTAACAAAGTCAAGCGAGGATGAGACACAGAGAACCAAATAAATGTCTGATTTTTCCCAAAATACAAGTACAAATCAAATCATTCTAATTTTCTGAAAGGGTTGAACAACTGTAGGCTTTCATCAGCACCAAGGCACAAGTGGCGAAGCAAGCTCGCATAATTCGAGTATCGAGCCAAGCGAGCGCGCGAGAGGTCTCATTTTCGTGCGAGCGCCCACGCGGACAATCTCGTTCGCTCCAGTTGTTTGGCAGCTCGAAAGGCGCTAATAAGGGCCAACACAAGGTCTAAAAATTTTAAAAATGACTTAGTAAGCATTGAGATATGATAGCAGTTTCACAGTGCTTGATCAAAGCTTCCAGTGTAAGAATCATAAAATATACAAAGCAAACGTCTACTTCCTTGTTAATGTTCTGCCACACCCTGAATGGAAAATTACAAAATTTAATGCCTGTTAAAGGTGCATTATCGAAACACCTATACAGTTTTACTGTGACAAAACAAAAAATCCCCCCCTCCCCACTTCTGTCGATATATAATGAACAGTTCAAAAAGAATATAGAATATTAAGTTGAAGCTCTTATTTCTTTTGGGATGTGACAGCATAAAAAAGATTTATCGGCAGAGTAATTGAGTACAGAAGAAAATATACTATGAGTTGGATACTTACTGCTGCTTTCTCCTGCTTCTGTTCATGTTTCAACTCTTCAGTCAGCTTTTTTTCTCCTTTCTTCGTTTCTTCCTCACTCATTTTGCTCTTTTCCTTGGTCACTGTTACTGTCACCTTGGAGATCTTGTTCACCGTTTTGACAATTTCTTTTGGCGTGGATATTGAGGGTTTTTCTGTTACCGCTTCCTTGTCTTTCTTATCTTCACTATCCTTCGCATTTTGGGCCAATTCGGCGAGCTCCAGTTCTTCATCAGATAACATTCGTTTGGAGTCCTCTTCCTTTGAAGCCATCTCGTCCTTAAGTATGGCTAGCTCTTTGTCTGCTTCATCTCGTTTTACTGCAATAGTTTGTCTTCCATTATCCTTGTCAACTAGTTGCACCTTCGCTGTTCCAATGGTCTCACTGCGTGTTGTCGGTTTTACAGATTGAGCTGTTGTGGGCTTCTCTTCCTCACGATTCCTTTCGGCTTTCAGCGCTTTATCGAATTCATGAGCGATCTTCTGTTCATCTGTTTTTCCCTTTTCTGCCTTCTTTTCTTCTTTATCTCGTCCTCCTTCCAACTCTAGCTCGATCTCTTCGTCAGTCTTTTGAGATTCATCATTGGATCTTCTCTTGTCCATGAAAGCGGCGTGCTTTTCATTGTTCTTACTGCTGCTTAAATCTTCCTCTTCTGTCTCTTCAGGTGTTTCATCCTTTACCACGGGTATCTCAGACTTTTTCGCCACGCTCTCTGGGATCTTTCCCATATGGGGTTCATCTCTGACCGTTGATTTAACCACAGGCTTCTCAGCCACCTTCTTCACAGAAACCTCTGACTTTGTTTCACCGGTTGATGGTCCAATCTTTTCCACCTTTATGTTTATTTTTTTCTCGCCAGGTGATTTTTTTCCAAGCTTTAAAACCTTTTCCACTTTTATCACTATTTCCTTTTCACCGTCTGTAGACTTTTGTACCTTATCCGCTTTCAGGTCTTCATCTTCTTCATCTTCCTGCCGGACTTCACTTCGTTTAGCCTCGATGGTTGTTCTTGATGGGACACGTTCCACTTTGACGAGTGTTACCTTTTCTGTATTTTTAGAAGGGGTGGAACTTGACGTTATCTTTTTAACCTTGGTAGAAAGTTTGGCTGAGCCTTTTTCTGTGCTGCCTTTTTCCATCGTACCTGAGCTTGCGGGCCGTCTTTCACTTTCAAGATCTGCTTCTTCTTCATCTCCTCCATCATTTGCAACTGATTTGCCGCCTAAATGTTTTGTTTCTTTTGTTATCTTCGTTACGACAAATTCTTTCCCAGGCGTTTCTCTGTCTTCGCCCTCAAGAGCCGCCTCTTCCCTTTCCATCTCATCGTTTGCTGCCGCTTTGATTTCAATTTTCTTGGCAACTTCAAATTTTTCTTTCTTGTTGCTGTTTTCTTCCTCGAGCTTTTCTATTTCGCCAACAGGAGAAACTTTTTTCCCCTCGGCGGAAATCTTGACAGAAGCTACTGTAACTTCTTCTTTGCTTGGATGCTCTACTTCTTCTTCAGATTTCACCGGCCTGGAAGGTTTCACAGTCTCAGTTTTATAAGCCTCAGATTTTGTCATCAGGGGCGTTGGCATTTTTGTTTCTGTTTCACGCTTCCTTGGTGTGGATGGCGTGGATGGCTCGGGTGGCGTAGGTGACGTGGATGACTTGAATAGCGTGGATGGTTCGTGTGGCGTGGATGGCTTGGTTGGCGTGGGTGGCGTGGGTGGCGTGGGATGAGCCTCTGGAGAGAAAAAAATATCGATTATTTTGTATGCCAACCCATGTCGACCTTAAGGAACGAGATTTAAACGCTTTCATGAGGGATTCAGATAAAAAATTAGTTAGAAATCAAATGTAGATGCGGTATTGTTCTTTCTAATCCCCTCCTCACCCCCCTTACTAAACTGAGTGTACCCACCTTTGATGGGATCGACATTTTCGTTTTGAGCTTCCTCCTTCATCTTTGTCCGCATTGCACCGATATGATTTTCAATTTCCTCCAGCTGTAAATTGAGTGGAAAATGCCTCATATTGACAGGTCGCAAATACTGAGCATAAGTAGTTTAATTGCGTCATGCATGCTAATGATATCAAAAATTAATTAGAATATTACCTGCGATTCCAGCTCATCGATGGAAATCTGCAACAAGATTGAGAATGATGCATTGCTTTCGTTACTTAAAAAGGTAAAAAATGCTAATAATGTAGCTTGTAGTCACACAAAATTTCGAGCATCTTATCTGCTGGCTATAAATCAGGTATGCACAGGAGTATTCTGCCTGTGTGAATTATTTTCTTTGACACCTGTTACTAAGGCTGAAGATCTTAATGTCCATTGTGTCTGTAAGACATCATATGGGGGTCAATGGCTATTTCACCTCAAATTTTAAATCTTAGAATCTTGCACGAAATTACTTCACTTTTCTTTTAGTCACTTCCAGGCCTCTGAAGTCAGACAGCCTCGTTCACCCGCTGACAATTTTTCCGTCGCGTACTTTAGGAAAAGGAATACATTGGTTTCCTGCCAGTTTGAAATTGGTATTGAAAGCTAATCACTCGCTGTGTTCAATGATGTCATATGAGCTATTGACCCCGTTTCAGTGACAATAGTTGAAGGAAATGGCCCCGTTTCAGCTTAACAGGAACATTCAAGGAGAAATCAAATCCCATTGTGCAAAGGTATCGAATAAAAGCAGATTATACTATTTCTCTCAAAGGAACTCATCAAAAGTTCTCCACGTTTCCAGTCATATCTCTCTTACACCTTTGTCTACGTGAATTCATAGTTTAGCTACAATAATTTGGTGTTATCAGGATCAAACGTAATGTCCCTATTGATATTTTGATCCTCTCCTCACTTTTCTGCGAGAAAATGTATTGATATTGTAAGGAGAAGATACTTGTTGGCTTCTCTAGATCTTGGACGCAGGATAGTTTAAAGCTCTTATCAACAGCCTATGTAAAACAAAAACATATGACCGTCACGATTGTACTCAGTACGTTCCTTAGTGGTCAGTTAATGTTATTTTAAGCTTGTGCAAATTAATTGACGCGGATCGCAAATTATTTACCATTTAGAAAATCTAACAGAATCTGCAGAAAACAGTTGTAAAGTTTGCTACTCTCTTCTAGCAAGCTCAGGACATAAATGAGAAAAGCCGTGATTTTGTACTGACTAAGCTAAATGTAATACATTTCTCTTAAAGAATTTCTCAATTAGAAGCCAAACTGAAAATCCTCCCAGACACACTCAAGGGATTTAAGGAAAATATCATTTTCCCGTTGACGTGAGGAAAGCACTATCAATACGATTCATTTCCTAACAGAAAACAGTTATTACAATGATAAAGACTATGAATTAACCAAAACGCTTGCTCTGTTTCGTGAACATTTAATTTCGAAGTGAAATTCCTTCGAGGCATAACTCCGATTGTAGAATTTTCCTATTTAAACGTTATTTGTTATTAAGACAGGGTAAGATTATGGTAAAATCCGCAGCGGCGATAACTCACCTCTCGCTCGTCTCTCTCTTGGACAATTCTATCCACTGGGACTGCAAAAATCGAAGACATGAATCACAAATATATCGTAAAATTGTTCTATGAAATTTTGTGTAATCTGTTAGGAGACACCCGGGTCATCTAGAGATGCCTCGACACGTCGCAAAAAGATCTGCACTTCGCAAAATAGTTTACGACCTAAAAGAAGTTTTAGCATTACCTGGTAGTGCCATACTTGAACTCAAAGACAAGAAAATCAACACAGTTGCGACTTGCATCTTGCTGAGAAAAAGGTTTGTTTCCTCTGAGTGGTAAAGTTGCCGTCACCTTGCTTGTCTGGTTAAAATAACACTGAAACCTAATATGGCTGCGATTTAACGTGTCGTAGATAAGCTGAGGAGTTATGTAAGTCCTTCAGTGAGGTACGCAGTGTGACAGCTATTTTCTATCAAGTAATGGCAAATGAAACATTTAAAATATATACAGTAATTTTCATACTACTTGAGAGTGAATATTTGAAAGCACTTCGTGACGCCTTGACTTCAACCTCGAAAACACAAAATTTAGGATTTTTCCTAATCTACTAGACGACCCCTCTTATCAAGCTGAAGTTGTAAAATGGAGGGGCTGGGTGGGGGTACATCTCCATATGGTAGGGAGGAAAGCTAAGACAAGGCACAAGTCAACTTTATAACCTTGCAGTGTTAGTTCCTACAGCCCAAGCCTTAAACTGTTTCCTCAAATAGTCACTGAATAAGTAATTCAGATGGGTATTTAATCTCAAGATCATCTCATTCATTAAATAAATAATATATCCATTTTTTATTAACTTTTTCATTTGTTCATTTATTCATTTTTAATTCATTTTTTTCAGTTTATTTCAACATTTATTCATTAATTTATTGATTTATGTATTCATGTTTAATCGAGGATTTGCGTTTTTATTTGTTTGTTCTGATTACATATTCATCATGAGAACGGTTCATTTCCCACTGTGACCTCGCTTTCATTATTTGAAAAGGGAAACAAACCGTCCTAATGAAATAGATCATCATGAACAGTCACTAAGAGAAAAGGTGTCACGCCACACTGCAGCCACCACATCCTTTGCGTAATGGCTTGAATTTTTCTCGTTGACTTTTCTGCATAAATAAACCAGCAAGAAAGGAAAATGTTAAGTGAATCCTGCGAGGTTGTCACCAAGCGCTCGGCTTTACTCTTGGTTTTTATTTGGTCGTAAGCAAGGAAGATTCAGAGGAAAGACCGGAAGTCATAATCATCTTTCCATTGTCACGTTTCCGTATCCGGGACTTTCACTTAGTATCAGCTTCCTCTCGCGCTGTGGGTAATTGACTTTTCGTTGGAGTTTGTGTAGTTCTGGCCGCGAATCTGATCATCGCCAAGGTAGAGATTTGAGTTAGGCGCTTTGCTTTCCTTCCGCTATGACTAAATTTACAGACTGCTTCTGGGTAAGTTGTATTTTGAGTTTACATGAACGCTCTTACTTATGCGGAAACAACGATGTTGAATATACTTTCAGTTTTTAAGCCGTGATAGGTCAACTCTTTCTACTTGAATCTGTTTGAAGATATGGCTACATGTGCCTTTTGTATCGAACCCTAAAATTTCTCCGATTTCCTATTAATTGAAACAATTAGCAGATCGAAAACAACAGCGATCAAATTTGAGCCCAAAAGCTTTTCATTCATGATCGCGAAGAAGAGCTAATACAATTGTTTTGCTTTCGCATTCTTCTACTTCGGCTTAATTAAAGATTTTTGTTTGTTTGTTTGCTGCTCCGATAGAAATCAGTTTATAATGAAACCAGATGAAGGCCTTCGCTGTTGATAGAAACTGTCTGTTGTTTGTTTTTGTACCGATTGGAGGAATTCGATCGTTAATTGAGGCGATACACGAGCGACAAATTCACTTTGATTCACAAAACTGATGATCGACTGTGATAGTAGAAATAATGAAATGAAATTTCAATAATTTCTTGTTTTATTACTATTTTGTCGTAAATATTCTCATAGTGATAATATTTACTATATTACAACTGAACCTGAAGACCCCATGCGTCCACAACCACCTGTGCCGGTACGTGGCGTATTAAGCCACTTTCGGGGAGTTTTGGGAAGAAAAAATGAGTCTTAGCCATTTTCGCGTCAAAATATTCATTGCGAGGGGTGTCTACCTATAAAAACAGTGCGGTACTGAGACTTTTTGCAGTATGAGAGTATGATTTATCAGAAATTTGCATCTGGGGACAAAAATTATTTTGTTCATTGTGCATGTGAGAGTATCATGGGATCATCAGTCTTGAAAATTATTTACCAGTGCTACTCATTTTAATCAACCAAGAGGCTGAATTTTCACAGAAATTATCTGTTGCCTAACATGCTCAGTTGAATACTTGTAGAATGACTTCTGCTCTAGAGTAAAATAAACTCCATACAAACTGGCACTTGTTAAATCAACATGATTCCTCAAAATGGATTGATGAAAACTTCCATACAGTCACCTCAAATTATCTATTTAAAAATATGTATAGGTAATCACATGATTTTGAGTGCAATTTGGAATAATAAAAACCAACAAATTACACGAACCTATAGGGCGAGTGCAATTTGTGGTCTTTGAAAAATCTTACATGTGCTTATTTATTCCAAATTGCATGAGAAAAATCATATGATTATTTATTAATAGTATGAAGAAAAAATATGAGATAGCTTATCATAATTAGGCAGAAGCAAAGCACACACATCAAGTGCAAAAATAATTTATTCAAACCCTGCAAGTGCTGTTACGTATTCAGTCAAAACAACCACATGTGATCAAAACAATATTACACAATGATATTTTCACATCTCTAAGGCACAAAAAAGTTCAAAGTTGCGCTGAACAGTTCAAGGAATTATTCAGTCTGGTTTGTTACTTCTTTGCACTGAATTAACCCTCTTCTGCATTGAATTACCTGAAAACTGCACTTATCATAACCAATCAGAACTGAGTAATTTCTTCATGTATCTTATTAGTCTTGTAATTTTAAGCATTAATTTCATATTGTCCTGCTTGAGAAGAATTAACTGACGACTGAACCAAAAGTCCTTTGTTTACAAGTATAATGCACATGATAAGGATATCTCAAAAACTGAAAAAAATAGTCAACAACTTTAATCCTGAAAACAGGTCCAAAAGGCATGTTGTGTTATATTGTATTTTCAATATTGAGACAAGGTAATGCCCAGTCTAGCTTAAAGCTGGTTTTAATGGGTTCATGTATAAACATAAGAATTCTGTGAGCTATATTCTTTACTATTTGCAAAAAGGCTTGAACCCTTAACCTCCTGCATGACAGTCCAGCACTCTAAAATGTGAGTCATACATATGCTAACTGTTCTTTGTTGTCAAAAGCAATAGTTTGGCCTTATAAAAAGGGTGGCTTTAATTTCTGGGGATGTCAGAAACCTCTTCTCTAAAAGGAGGATACTTTATATTAAAAATTCAAAGTTACAAACTATCAGACTGATGTTTACAATATTTTATTTCTCCCATTATCTAAATTGCATCTGTCCATTTCTGACTCTCACAGGGAACTGATTTTAACAGCACTGCTGGTTTTGATGCTTTGTGCAAACGCCTCAAGGATGGAAAACAAATGTGCCTGGATTTTGAAGATTTTATAAGACAAAGGTAGTGTACAAAGCACTAAACATGACCATAATGACCACATCCCTCACTGTAACTCCACAGAACTAAGAAATATAAACAATGAGCATGTAATTTGTAAATTTGTGTGTTTTGTGATTTTGATAGGACATACACTTTGCTGACAAGAAGCTTGTAGGTTTCTAACTACAACTGCAATCTGTTCTATTTGTTTTTATTGCTTGCTTGTATTGAAATTAATTCAGAGGCTAAATTGGTTGACAGTAAGTCTGCATTTTGTAGATATGAGGTACACAACACTAGCAAAAAAAAATATTTATATTGCAGGGCAGATGCTGAGGAGAAGTATGGCAAAGCTTTGATGAGACTTGCTGAAAATGCTAAAGGCAGAGATGAAATTGGGTAAGGATGAAATATTTAATGGGCATAGGTTTCCCCACTAACTACTTAAAATGTTAATCAGGAAGAATTTATGACAGGAAATTCATAAACCACCACCTTACTTATGGCTACAGAACCAAATGACTGAGAGCACTTGAGCTTAATTCTGCTAAGCAAACAGGTGCAACTGTCAACAGATGATAAAAACATTTAAACTTTGTTTAGGTTTGTTGTTGTCAAGGCAGATGTGATTTAGAGGAAGTGATCCCTCCAGTTTTATCGCCTCTTTTCAGATCCATATATAATGATGCAACATTCACTTTGTTTTGCATCAGTGTATAAATCTAAAAAAAAAGTAAAATAAAATAAAAGTCCCAGTGAAAAGTTCACTGAACAAGCAAACTGTCCCAGTACCTGTTGCAATATACCATGTTTACTTTGCACCCTGAGGAACACACTAAGTTCTATTATAGCTAAACATCAATTGAAGTAAAGGCAAATTGGTATTTTTTAGGACCCTCAGAGAATCTTGGGAGGTCATCAAAACAGGTACAACTAACAAAGTGTAAATATTTAATATCTGATTGTTTAGCGCACTTGAGCTATTGCAAGTGGAAGTCTGTCAAACTATTGTTTTTTCAAGTTAGTTGTTTAGGAAATAAGATACTGAAGAAGATAACAGAACTACTCTAAAAAGCTATCTACCTGCTAATGGTAGCCAGCAGCTGCAAGGACTGAACATAGAAATGAAGCTCACAAAGCATTTTGGTGTAAGTCATCATCTTAACTTCAATATTTGTTTTGTCCCACAGAGACAGAGAACATTGGGAAACTGCATTTAGCTCTATCCAAACAACTGATTGAAGAACTGGAAAGCTGTGTCAGGAAATTTAGAGAAATGCAGCGGGATAAAAGGAAAAAGGTAACATAAATTATTATGAGTGAAATAACTGAGAGGTTTCAGATTGAGGGTTGCAAATATTCGAAGCAAACGAGATCATGACAGCCAATCAGAACCAGGGATTATATATCAAGGAGCCAATTAGAACCCTCAGTTTGAACATGAAAAACTCTTATGACATAGGAAAATCTAAGTGGGCAAGGTTTCACTGGATTAAGGTCCCCATGTAAGAACTAAGTATCAAGAATTGAGAGTCAATGATGGAGGGTTAAGAGACTGTCAGCTCACTTTTGAAGGGTTCTGTCCTTTGGAATATACAATAATTGATTGAGGAAATGGTTTTATATTTTTTAATCAATATCACAGCAAAATAAAGTAAATTAAAGTAGTGAGGGAT